TTCTAAAAAAGACGTTAAAAGTGTGATTTAGGTTGAAAGTCTTAGAAATCAGTATGAATTGCAAGAACTTGAGCTACAGAAATCGACAAAGAAAGCTGAAGAATCAGTGGCATTAGCTAGAGAGGAATCAGCTAAGTGTGATGCGGCTGAAGAAGTTATAAGATCCCTTACAATACAGGTTAAATTCAGTTTCTTATTCCTTCCGTCCGTGATTTAAGTTTTGGTTTATTGGAAAGAGCCCTTTAGTTTTAACTTTGTTAGAAATTAACCGTTTATCTTTCAATATTATCCCTGGAAATTTGTTTCTCTTGTGAGTTGTTACACCCTCAGTAATATGCCACTGACAATTTTTGTAGTTACGGTTAATCGAAGGATAATGGTTTGTAAATTCAACAACAACAACATACCCAGTATATTGATCAACAGGCTGTATTTAATATTTTTCTTAATGTTACTTTTCAACAAGAACTGATTTAGCTTCATCAAATGGAAATCTCGATGAATTCCAATCGCTCGACGATGCCACTAACAACATAAAAGGTTCGCTCGATTCAGACCTTGGGCCCGCCACATCCTTCAATGGAAGAACAAATGAGATTACCACAAATGGGGCTTGTCCAGATGTTGAAAATAGTACGTTAAGGTCGAGTAACTCTGCGGTTGAAAGTGATTCTAACCAAATTGAAGCTGAATGGATTGAGCAGTATGAGCCCGGTGTGTATATAACACTCGTGGCTCTTCAAGGTGGGATGAAGGACCTAAAACGAGTACGCTTCAGGTGATGACAACTATCTCATTCTTTAATTTCCCTAAATTTTTATGTACAAGGTCTGGTGATGGTGATAACATAACATATTGTATGAGAAGTATAATGTTGGTGCATCATCTGTTTCTGATAAGTCTGACTACCAAAAGACATGAAGGTGCATTTTCTTCACCTTCTCAGGTTTAGGTAGAGTTATGTATGTAAAAGATGCTGTTAACCTGAGATGCTTAATATGCTTATTTTCATGTTCAGCTCTCTCTCTTTCTCACCGATTAAATTGTGTAGAAAAATTCTCGTGGTATAATGTGGCATCTCAACCATCCACACATTGCTATAGTTTTTTTTTATCCTTTTTGACACAAGTTAAATATCACAAAATTTGATAATATAATGTTAAAGCATTAGTAATTCTTACTATTAATTCAATTTGACTACTAATTCAATCACACACAACTAATTATATGGTTGAGAATTATTGAAAAATATTTTATTATCCTTACATGTTTGGTGAGATTGTGAAATAAAGATGAAAAACATAAGAAAACTTATGAGCGAAAAGTTAGCGAATTTCTTGCATGAAGTAGTTTATGATTGTGAAGAATGTAAAATATAAATACACCAGTTAAAATTGATGAGTTATAAAATTAGTAAAAAATATATTAAAAGTAACTGGTAGTTAGAAATTGATGAAGAGAAAGATAGTGAATTCCATTGAAAAATTTTTAATAATAATATTATCAATTTTATTTTATATTATTTTTATTTTAAATTGTGATGTAGAGCGTATGTATGAATGTGATAGAACACGATCAATTCTTAAGAGAAATCTCAAAGTCAATAAAATCAAGTTTGTCCCGCGAAAGAGAAGACGATGTTTCTTATACATCAGATAATAACCTAACTCAAAAGCCCACTAAATGATAAATAAAGGTCCAATACTAATACTAATAATAATAAGAGCCCAATAATAAATAAAGACGACTAATAAAATTGAAACACGCTAAATACGAAGACGATCATATTTATTTAAAAATGCTATCGCGGTCTCGTCTCCATCATCCTCCCCCGGTTGAGAAGGATTCGGTCGCAAATCCGAACCGGTCTCGTCTCCGTGAAAGGCACCAAATGCTTGACGTTAAAAACGTCAGAAGTGTGAATGTGAGACGGAAGGCGAAGACGGTAAGCATTGGGGTTGATCTTCTCGAGAATCTCCACCAGGCCAATTTTACGGGCAGTCAGTTTATTAAACTCATGAGCGGGGAACCTTTCTTTCGTAAGAATTGCCCAAACGAAATCACCTACCTCGAACTCGACGTGGCGACGACGAGCATCGGCGGCCCGTTTGTAAGCAGCCGTCGTCGACTCCAAACGAGCCCGGGCCGCGGTGTGCGTCTTCAACAGGTCCGCCACCATGTCCGCCGTGCGCTACTCGACCCCGCGGGAAGGTGGCAACGTCGCCAAATCGCACGGCCCCCGAGGTTGGACGGCATAAACCAGCTGAAAAGGAGAGTAGCCCGTGCCCCGACCGACGGCTGAGTTATGAGCAAACTCCGTCTGACACAAACGTTGGTCCCAACTTCGTGTATTGTCACCCACCAAACAACGCAGCAAGTTGCCCAACGACCTATTCACCACCTCAGTCTGGTCGTCCGTCTGAGGGTGATAGGCTCTGCTAAAGTCGAGACTGGTGGCAACCATGCGCCACAAGCTCCGCCAGAAATAGCTCAAAAACCGAGTGTCACGGTCAGACACAATAGCCGAAGGCAGACCATGAAGACAGTAAATCTCCCGAAAAAATAACTGGGCCACGTGAACAGCATCGGTGGTGCGCTTGCACAGATGAAGTGCACCATATTCGAAAAACGATCCACCACCACAATAATTAAATCAAAGCCCCGCTGTGTATGAGGTAAACCCAACACAAAGTCCATACTGATCGACTACCACGGCTGGGACGGAATCAGGAGAGGCCTGTACAAACCCGCATTAGTGGCTACACCCTTTGAAACCTGGCAAACCCGACACCTAGCCACAAACCGGCCCACGTCACGCCGCAGGGACGGCAGAAATAGTTGCGGTTCACTAGCTCGACGGAACGATCCCGGCCCACATGCCCAGACCCGTGTAAGTCCGGAATGAGTTTCTGCCGCATGCTGCACTCAGGAATACACAAATGAAGCCCACGAAAAAGAAAACCATCTGACAAAGAATAATCCTCAAAAGGCCCGGTACGTAAGCGCTCCACAATTGGTCCAAAAAATGGGTCATCTGCATACACGTCGCGCAACACCTCAAAGCCCACGACCGCTACACGCATTTCGGACAACAGGAGGGCACTTCTACTCAAAGCATCAGCGACCCTGTTAGACGTACCCGACCTATGGCGTAGGACGAAGGTAAATTGCTGTAGGAATGCCGTCCATGAAGCATGTCTCGACGAAATATTATCTTGGGAGGCCAAATGACGGAGCGCCTCATGGTCGGTATAAAGCACGAACTCTCTGTGAAAAAGATAATGTCGCCAATGGCGAACTGCACGAACCACAACATAAAATTCAACATCGTATGTACTGTACCTCATTCTCGGACTCGATAGCTTCTCACTGAAGAAGGAGACTGGACGTCCATCCTGGCAGAGGACAGCACCAATCCCCACCTTCGAGGCATCGCAAGAAAGTTCGAAAGGACGAGAAAAATCCGGTAAGACAAGAACTGGCGCCGAAGTCAATTTCCTTTTGATAAGAGCAAAAGCCTCAGCAGCTGCCTCGGTCCATGTGAAAGTCTTCCCCATGAGACAATCAGTAATCGGGGCATCACCGAGCTAAAATGCGAAATGAATCGCCGATAAAACGAGGCTAACCCATGAAAGCTGCGAGCCTCAGTGAATGAAGTCGGTGTCGAAATAAGGAAGCCCAAGAAGAGAACTGAGTCGACCATGAAGAAACACTTATGCGGTGCTGCAAAGAAAGACTTGGTCCTCAAGATAAGCAGGACTACTCGCACATGCTCCAAATGTTCCTCCACCGAACGGCTATAAATGAGGATATCGTCGAAATAAATGACGACACACCGCCCGATAAGATCCCGCAACGTCTGGTTCATGATGCGCATAAACGTGCTCGGCGCATTGGAAAGACCAGATGGCATGACTATCCACTCAAAAAGGCCCTCCCTGATCTTGAAGGCCGTCTTCCATTCATCCCCGGGCCGAATCCGAATTTGATAGTAGGCACTACAAAGGTCCAATTTGGTGAAGACAGTGGCACCGTGTAGCTGATCCAGCAAATCATCTAAACGAGGAATAAAAAAACGATACCTGACGGTGATCTTGTTGATAGCCCGACTATCAACGCACATGCGCCACTCCCCATCCTTCTTCGGAATCAACAAGGTCGGAACGGCACACGGGCTAAGGCTCCTACGAACAACCCCTCGTTGTAATAGCTCTTCAACCTGCCGGCGTAACTCCTTGTGTTCCACCGGGCTCATCCTATAATGTGGCCGATTGGGAAGAGAGGCTCCTGGGACTAAGTTAATCTGGTGTTGAATATCCCGCAAAGGTGGTAAACCAGTAGGAAGATCGGTAGGAAAAACCTCTGAAAATTCTGACAACAATGGTTGCATAATGGCAGGTGCTTCTCGCTCCAGCGACTTGTCAAAACCCACAAGTAAGAGGACAAAGAGAGCCAAGCACATCTCCTCCACAAAAGCCGCCCTCGAGAGAAAAGGACACTCGGAGAACTAGGAGACAAAACGGGACGTGGAGGAGCAGGATGAAGGATAACTCGAATACCCCCAAAAGTGAAGCTGTAGGTATTAAGCCTACCGTCATGAGTCGCAGCACGATCGTACTGCTAAGGCCTTCCTAATAACACGTGGCACGCGTCCATAGGGACAACATCGCACCAGACTTTATCTCGATAGTTCGCCCCAATGGACAATGAGACTAAGGCCCGACGGTCAACTGTGATAGCATTTCCCCACTGGATCCATGCCAATGTATAGGGCTGTGGATAAGGTTCACTAGCTAGTCGCAATTTGTCAACTGCCTCCTGTGCAACCACGTTCTCACAGGAGCCCGAGTCAATGATAAAACGGCACACCTTATCACCGATGGTACACGTGGATTCAAAAATATGATGGCGCTCCTTCGTCTCATACTCGTCGAACGAGGTGTTAGACACGACCGACGAATCACAAGGGCCGTGCCAACATCCCCATATGGTGCTCCTCATGCACTCCCGGGTCAACATCAAATACCGGAGGCCCGTCATATTCCCCGGACCCCTCCTGATTGCCACCATCGTCAATGAATAAACCACGAGGGCCCTGACCCCGTGGACAAGCTTCCTGACGATGACCCACCTCCCCGCAACCAAAGCACCGCAGGCCCGTCCCTACACGCTGCCCTGTCGCCGCCGCAGGTGGGACCCCCGCGCCTACCACTCGCGGATTACCGCCGCTAGACCCGGCGACACGTTCTGCCGGAAGTTGTTGTCCCGCCCCGGTTCCCGTCGGAGGAAGCGCACGACTGGGCTGCAGCATCCCACCTCCAACTGGTCCTGCACGCGAAGACGGAGAAAAGCCCGAGCCAGCCTTCCGGGCCAATTGTTGTTCGACCAGTCGGGCCCGTTGGCATGCATCCGACACCGACTCGGCCCGCATAAGGTTTAGCATATCTTGTATCGCCACACGTAGTCCTCCCACATAACGAGCAATCAATTTGTTCTTTGTTTCTCGTAGCTCCACGCGAGTCAAAGGCGGTAGAACTCATCTGTGTACTCGTCTATCGAACGCGTCCCCTGCCTTAAGTTCTAAAGTTGTTGATAAATGAGGCTGTCATAGTTGAACGGCAAGAATTCACGCTCTACATATTCTCGAAATTTCACCCATGATGAAATCGGCGCTTTCCCTTGACGATGCCGCACACTTGTCAGTTGCATCCACCACGACGCAACTCATCCTCGAAACCTCGTGGCCACAAGATCCACACGCCGGTCATCCCGCACGTCCTTA